ATTCCAAAACCAGAAACACTAAAACGGCTGCCGCAGGCAAAACGTCCAACACACACCAGAATGGGCACACAAAAGAAAAATTGCCGTGATAGCTGTAATGTTCAAAGTCAAACTGCCACTCACGATCACACACAAGTTGGACCCACTCCTGTACATTCCAGGGTCCCGCAAAATCAGTGGTGGGAGCTCTCAAAACTGTGGCAGAATGACCACGCCCTAATCATGCCCATTTAGCCTCGACATGCTGCAAGACACGTTTCAATTACGCGTGTACACTCAAATTTCTCCCGCAGAGAATATAAACCGAACACAAAAAGTATATATTTCGTAGAATATATAATTTCGAGAGGCCAACCGAAGAGCAAAACAAACATGAATCAGGAGGGCAGTGAAATAAAAGTAGACTAAGGTCGAAATAAAAATCTAGTAGCCTGGCTAGCTACCCCCCTAATCGTGACCGTTTTGTCGTCCACCTCGTCACCGTTAAAGACGTTTTGAGGACTGCCCTGGGCGGCACGCAGTCAGTCGCTTCCGCGGCACTCGCCGATCCCGAGCCCAAGCCTGAAGTCTGCTGTTCAAGCGTGCGGGCCCTGGGCACCGACCGGTTTGGCTTCCTCCTCTCCCCTGTGCTCATTCCGCGCCTGCCGTTCCCGCAGCCCCTTGCGTCCAGACTCCCCCTTCTGTAGCAGCTCGACTCAACTTTCTTCCTGGAAGTCGCCCTGCGATGCACCGCCGTCTTGACCTTCGGCGACGACATGGCCGCGGTCCCGAAGTCAGTGCCTCTCCGCAGTCGGAGCCTCCGTCTCGACGCCTGGATCGGAGGGATCTCGACCCTTTCCGCCGTCACCTCGCCGTCGTCCAGGTTCTCACCGTGGCCGTCTGCGTCGTAACCCGGAGCCGATGCAGGGTCGGACCCGGAGCACCCCTCGACCGCCGACCCCGACCTGTCGATCCGCCTCTTGCGCGGCTGCTTCGTTCCAGCCTGGGACGGCCCTTGCATTCACAGAGCTGCGGTGACCGGTGCGCCGGGGTTCCCTGGATCCCGGCGCTCGATGTCGCCAACCGGGTTCGTCCCCTCGTCGCCGCCGTCACCATCGCTCCCGCTCTCGCTTTCGCCTCCTTGCGTCACCGGATCACCGGCGGGTGCATCTGCCTCGTCGGCGCCAGCTCTCCTCTGAACGTGCTTCGCCTTGCGGCCGCCGCGGTCCTCGCCATACGCGTTGTCCTCGCGGTCTTCTTCCGGATTTTCAAGCTTCTGCCGCTCATTCAAGATTTCGGGCAACCCGTCGGCGTCGTCCATTTTTCCGGTGGGCTTTGGGTGCCCCCTACCTGTCTGGACCGCCGGCTCGACCTCGATGTCGCCGTGGTCATCGCCGTCCGCGTCTGTCTTTTCTCCGTTCTCCGCGGTTCCGCACTCGAGCACCTCGTCCCTCAGCGTGTCCTCAGATGTGTGTCGGAATTCCTGGTCTATCTCATTTTCCGTCACTTGAATTTTTACCGCCTCCCTCTCGAGAACCGATCGAACTTGCAATAGTTCTCTGTACACCTCTGGCGTAAGCAATGCTCCCAAACTGTCCGACAGCTCGTCGGTAATCGCACACAGTGTGAGGACTTGCTGGCCCTTGCTTTCTCCCTCCACTACTAGACTCAGTGGCACGTATGCCAAATCGGCGGTTACCACCTTTCCGAACGCTCCTTTTAACTTGATTGTTCCTTTACGCTGTTCTAAGCACGTTGCAGGAACCGTTTCCAATCTCAACACCGTAATCTCTGTCCCGGAATCTAGGCAGGCTTTCAGAGGTCTGTCTGCCACTACGAGATCCACCCACCTGAGGCTCATACCGGCCCTTTTTACGCATGCTTTAGCTGTTTCCGTTGGCACAGACGCCACCTGGGCTACCAATTTTCGTGGGTCATGTTTGTTTTGGTTCCCCTGACCTTCGTTTGCTTGCCTTCGTGATTGCTGACAGTTTCTCTGGATATGTCCCATTCGACCGCAGCCAAAACAACGAATCGCCCTCGTTCGGTCCGCGCCGCGTCCCTCACCGCCAGTCGTCGTCAGCACAGTCTCCTTCGACTGTCCATCTCGTCCTCGAACGGGTGCGCTGTCCGAAGCTTTCTCCCTGCCTTGAGGCTTTCTCCCACGACGGCTTTCGTCAAAGTTCTCTGCCAGCTCAACTACCTCTTTTGGCCTAAGCCACCCTTTCGTCTCATTTTGGAGAACGTAGGTTCTCACCTCGTCTGGCATGACTTGCTTCAACCTATCTGACACCATGAGGTGCTTCAGCTGATCCAGAGTCTGAATCTCGCGACTGTTCAGATAGTAGAAAAAAAATGTCTCCAATTTCGTGGAAAACTGTGCCCACGACTCGCCGTCCGTTTTTTGAGATGTGAGGAATAACCTCCGGTATTCGTTGGCGGTCATCTTAAGCTCCCTAAGAATTTTGTCTTTCAATTCTAGGTACGGCATTATCCGTCCGTCTGACTGATTCGCGCTGAAAGCCCTGATTCTTTCCGTTAGAAACGGAAGTATGATCGCCCCCTGTACTTCCGCTGGTATGCTCATTGACGCGAACAGCGTGTCTACGTTTTTGAACCACCCTGGGACCATGGACTCGGCCTCTGGCATCTGAGCTAACACTGCGCGCAGCTCCTTTGCGTATTTCGACATCTGGCTTCTTTCGGCCTCGTCTTTTCCGTCGCGACAAGACTTCTCCTCTGCCTCCTTCGCTTTAATTTGTGCGATTTGTAGTTCCAGTTTTAAGGCTACAATTTTTAGCTTCAGCTCGTTCTCGCTCTTACTCCCTCCCCCCTCCGACACGTCGTCCAGCATGGCCGGGCTCTTACCGCCGCTCTCACTCATCGCTTCCTAAGCTCTTTTGGTCATCGACCGAGTCACCACTGACATGCGAAACCCGGAGGAAACAGAAATGAGTCCCACCTGTGTCAGTGCGCTGCTCCTGGGGCGAAGACTCTCCGGTGTCGCTGGACGTCACCCGTCGGAGTCGGTCCTGGGTTCGGGTACCGGCTGGTCCGTTCTTCGGGTTGCAACCCACGCAACCTCTCACGTAGACGATGCTGCGTCGTCGCTGCACTTTGGACCGCCGCACACGAAGCTTCTCGCGTAGATGTTGCTCCGTCCGCTCCTTCTCTTCGGGTCGAAACCCTCGAGGCCTCTCACAGGGATGTCGCCTCGTACCCTTCGGGTCGAAACCCACTAGGCCTCTCACCAGGATGTCGCCTTGTTCTCTTCGGGTCGAAACCCACGAGGCCTCTCACGGGGATGTCGCCTTCTTCTCTTTGGGTCGAAACCCACCAGGACCTCTCACGTGGATGTCGTCCTGGTCACTTCGGGCCGGAGCCCACGAGGCTTCTCACGTGGATGTTGCCTCGTCCACCGTTGACGTCGGGTCGAAACCCCCAAGACCTCTCACGTAGATGCCGTCTTGGTCACTTCGGGCCGGAGCCCACGAGGCTTCTCACAGGGATGCTGCCTCGTCCACCGTTGAGCCGAAGCTCACGTACTTGCCCGCAGGTCGCCGCCACGTCGTCTCACCGGAAATCGCGCCACCATCCTGTCGACTGCGCCAGTTAAAGTCCTCCCGGTGGTGTGGGAGGCAGGTTCCGCTTCGATGGTCTGGAGCGTGGTGGCACGAACGTCGCTGAGTGACGGGTCGACTCACTGCTTGAATAGAACTATGTGCATTTATTTACACTCTAGTTAGAAGTCCCAACTTGGGAACCCATCCTGCCTCGTCTAAAGTCTCGACCCCCGTCCCCAATTTCTCTCCATCAAATCCAAAGTCCGAATCCCTCAAAATCCTCTCCGCGCTCTTTTTGTAGGTCCGTAGGGGCCTCCTTTCCCCTCAGGAACCGACCAATCTCTTCAAATTCCGCCACTCACACGTGGTACACTGTTCTCCAATGGTCGGCGAGCTGTCATCCTGGCGCCCTAACGGTCAAACTTAAATTCCTCGTAGAGTTGTTCTCTGCAATTTTCCCAGCCTGACTGGCGCCAACCGCTAAGTTATTGCATCGGGCAAAAAGCGACAATTTTATACAAAGCGGCAAAACCCTCTGCATTCACGAACATTCGGCTATAAGCCACAAGCATCTTCCAGCGCGGGCTCTTTCGGTCCCGGTCCGAGCAGACCCCCGAAACCCGAGACGCTTCTTAACGACCGGCGGGGGGACCGCTCCCGCGTCGCGGCCGCTCTGGCCCCGCCGACCCAAACGTAGAAAGCTAAAAAAACACAATGCCGACGCAATTCTGGAAAGATAAACTTTCCTAACCAAAAGAAAACACCTTAATTATTAAGCATGACTCCTAAATACTTAACTCAGCCCAAACTAAATTTCATGGCTCCTTTAAAGGTGAACAGAGTACAGACACTGCCTCGTCATTTTTCGTGCCCCAACCACGACATTAACAGCCTAATGAACGTGTTAGAGCTGAGAGATCTCGTGCGGTTTTCAAGCCAGCGTCCATCAAGGTCAGAGGAGACACTCCGAGCGGAAGGAGCACGTGTTCGTCAGAGTTTGCGTTAAAGTTAGTTAATGTTGGTTACAGTTAGAGTTATAGTTACAGCTAGTTAGACTTAGGTTTCGTTAGAGTTAGAATTATAATTAGTGAGAGTTAGTTAGAGCTCATTACAATTAGATATAGTCTTAGAGTTAGCGGTGGTAACTCCCCTTTTCATGTGACATTATTTTTCCCACTAAATTTAGCGGGGAACTGAACTGGTGTTGAGTTCACGTGACGTCAATTTTTACGCTAAATCAAGTGGGGATACTGATTTTGCGTATAAGTCACGTGATACAAAATCATATGACGTCACTCTCTCCATTAAACTTGGCGGGTAAACTGAATTTGCGTGTAGGTAACGTGACAGGAAGCCACCTGATGTGGCTTTGCTCGCTAAATTTAGGGGAGAAATTCGCTGTTCCGCTTTTTGCACATATTACGGGGCCGAAAATAGCACGAAGCAGCCGATTACCCCTTACCGGTATGGGTCTTCTGGGGTCAGAGAGCCTTCCAGAACGCTATTTGTTGTTAACTGCTTTGCTTCCTGGAAGTTGTAGATGAGCTCACGTAAATCCAAGCTTGATCTCAGGTCCAGAGAAGTTGCTGTAAAATAACGCACGCACCGCATTTTTAATGTCATCCTGGCAAGTTGGTTTCACTACAACAAAGACTGTTTCATGTGGCCTACAATGTTAGGGACTGAAATACGATCTTTAGAACTGTAGAACCTGAAGAAAGTTCTGCAAAGCATAGAAAACAAAAAACCGCTGTTAGAAAAAAATTCTCGTGGAAATGGAGCGTGCTGGTTAAGTTACGGTGTTTGTGGAGACTAACATAGAGGACGAAAACAGGACGACACGTTTCTCCAGATGGAGAAACGTGTCGTCCTGTTTTCGTCCTCTATGTTAGTCTCCACAAACACCAGAAAAAAATCCCAGGCTTAATTTAAAAAAGGACACTTTCAATCGGAAGTCAATTTATTGCTACAAGTAATGTAGAAAAAAAAGGAAGTTCGATTTGATAGAGTTATCGCATAATTTTATTTACCGTATCCGGTTTTTAAGGTACAACGTCCTTTTAAAAAAAAAAAAAAACTCTTCTTTTTTTGTTGGACCTTGCCGGAGACGGATATGCTAAAGTAAATGTCGTAGCTATACAAATTTAATTATATTCCTGTTTGACCATATGAAAGGCTATCATCTTCGACATATGCCCTATTGGGCAGGAGATCGAACTATAGGGGGCGCTCTGACCCCTTTGTTTTCCCCACCCTCGGTGGCGACAAGAAAGGCCTGCGCACATGTCAACACAAGGCATGCGCACATGCCAGCAGGCCTTATGGGAATGTCCATGTCATCATCTACAATAGAGCGCGGGGCACAGTTCAATGTAAAAAATACTAACAATCGACGAAGCGACGTTAAGTGCCGGATCTATCCTCAGAGAATGCGAGCTTGACCCACTTTGGCTTTTGTGCAGAGCAGGGACCCTGCATGCTGCATTGTTCACGCAAGCCGGTGTGGAAACAAAAGAGCCCCTCCTCCCACGCACCGGAGAACACGAACTTCAGCCGAACGCTGACGCCGCGTTCGGTTATGTCGGCCGAGCGCTGAATCATTGTATCTGTTGTCCCCATTCGCGTAGTTCTAAAGTAAACCGCTTGGGGCGTCACGGTCGCTCCTCCTCCCCATACTGCAACAAAATTCTAGCAACTATTTTATTGCTAAATGCGAACCACGTTCTGGACACACCACTTAAGACACCAATTTTTTTTTTCTCCAAAAATCACATAAATTGTTTTGAAAACGAATAATCTTAATGTCGTTGCGTCAAAATGCCCATAAAAGTAGCGCCGCTCCGCGTAGTACGGGGGCAAGCTGCGTAAGCGCGCGAGCGCCGTCGAAGTTGACCGAACCGGATTTCTCCTCTCTCCCTGCGGCAAGGGGAGAGGGCATCTCAAACGGTCAGGTTGTAACGCCTTGACGCCGCCATGTGGCGAAGCTCACAACCAGCCCAGCCTTTCTGTAGCCTTGCCCGCGAAGGGAAACGTGACGCCCCGAAGGCGCTGAAGGCACCGGATCTCCCAGAGACGCGTCGCGCTCTCCGACGTCTGCTCTTCGAGCGTTCGCCGGAATCTGCCATCTTGGAATAACAAACTTAGCCATCTGTTCTTATACAAACGTGCGATTTTCCTTCGCAGATTTCGTTATCATGTTCAACTCATTTCTAAACGTGAGAAGTATATTTCAGCTTCCATTTGGGTATCCATTTAAAGGAAGGACAAGGCCCAACGCTTCTTATCACTTTAGTGCGTCACCCAAAATACAACTTGTGTCTGTGACTACTTTTGAATGTCGTTATTGCACGCTCGTGTATTTGACTCATAATCTATCCAGTGGTACCACCGACTCCGTAGTGAGGTCACCTATCCGCAGAGAAGTGTACTTCACGATCCTCGTGCACTCAAATGCAACCTAGAAAAAAACATAAACACAAGCTTTTTAAGTCTTTTTTTTTTTCTGTCTGCTTTACTTTTGCGCGTTCGATGTAAGGCTCCTATTAAAAGTTTCAGCTTTATACCTTCATACATGCCAAATCCGGTAACGGTTGAATATGTGATTAACGACTGTTTTTACTTTTTTACTTTGACAATGGCAAGTGGAATGACTTGGAAAGAGTCGTGACACAACCTAGACTTTAGACGCCCGAGTAAAGCATCGACCCTTTATAAAGTACCGTAGGCAACACGTGACATCTAAAAATCGTCGCATCATCGCTATTGCATACGAGCTGATGAACGGGCCGAGAACGACACACCAAGTTCCGGTGTGGCCTGCCGTGGAAAGCATCGCAAAAAGATCATTTTAGTCGCGTCAATTGTTTTTTGTTTTTTTTACGCAAATGAAATATGACTTTTTTATTCCGAAGCAGACTAATGCAACGCCGGTTTTCGCGATCCCCCCCCCCCCCCCCCCCCCTTCGAGTAACAGCTATACTCAGTTTCACTTTAAGTCTGACCGCAGACCAACGCTCCGATGGATCGGATCAAGAAGCGCCAAAAGTGCTGAGTCACGGCGCTCGTCGCTTTTGCGCTGTCCCTCTCGCCGACTAAATCAATAACGCAGTGTAGAAGTGTCGCAATCCTTCCTTTTTTTTTTTTTTTACAGCGATGCTGTTTATGGCTAGGGTTACGTGCATTTTTCGCCTGCGTCAACAAAAACTCAGGTTACGTTCACGCTCGCACCGCCGTTCAAAGCCCGCTTGCGTGCCTAGTTTCTATTCCTTCCCCGGAGTGGCGGTCCTGTCGCGCTTGTCTACTGGGTTTCGTTCATTTTTCGTGTGAAACTCGGGCCATGTCTACGCTCACAACGCCCTCTCTTTGTCATCGTTCCAAGCGCTTGCGTGCCTAGTTTACTTTTCTTCCCCGGTGTGGCGGTCCCGTCGCGCGTGTCTACTTTCCACCGGGTGGTGGTCCCGTCACGCGTGTCTCGGGGCGTCGATATTCCTCGACATGTGTGTGCGTACGTTTCGTCACGATGACCACCGATCAAGACAATATATGTGTTCGTGCTTTTGTTCAAAATTTTGTGTCACGTCTGTGTCATCTGCCGAACAGCTTCGCTGGTCATTCACCCTCACAGAGTGGAATGGCTCATGATTTTTTTTCTCTTTGGCATTTATTTAGCCGGTGATCACAAACCCCAGAAAGACATACAGCGCGTGGCTAGGCAATTTTGGCGTTGCCTGGTCGGCTCAGCCAAACCATACCGTCGCCAGCGGTTAGACTTAATGTAAAACTAAGTATCGACCTCTGCTAAAATCGCCTCCTGCGCGGTGCCATCTTTGTCTGCTGGGCTGTGGAACTCCTTCTGAGAGCGCTTCTCAGCTGCTGAGCGGTACATCCACAACTCAGTGACTCATCAATTTTCAGCCGGGTGATAAGCGATGCAAATGTCTATAGTAGGTGTTACAAAGCGTCACTTTTTTCACGCCGCCGTGAGCATGTTACCGAAAGTAAGAGTGTACACCGTCGGAAGCTGGTGAACGTACGCTGACCTTAGGAAAACGCATCTCAAGATCGGCAACGAGAACTAGCGTCGACGCCTACCTTTGCCGGCGTCCAGGTTAGCACCGGTGGATGTCCAAGAGATCGTGACGGTGACGTCGCCGGAGGTCCTGTTGACGTCCTTAACCGCCAAGTCGCGAACCCGATCGGGGGGCAGGTCCTTGGGGTCACTTTGTGTCCTCATTTGAAAAGCGCCAGCGTAGGCTACCATCTTTATCCTAGCGTCATCCGGAGAACTTTGGTCCTGAGGCGGAAACGTTTTGTACGTTAAGATTACACTTTGAGAACATTACGGAATAGACAATAAATGCAAACAAACAGCTCGGAGATTACTTTTCTTCTTTAAAAAATAAAGCTTAAGCACATTTCTACAGTCGAACATTTTTTTTAAAGTGATTGATGTGTTTGCAAAGAGATCGAACTATAGGGGGCGCCATGTCCAGCTTGTCTCCCCCAATTTCTGTGTTTACCAACGCAAGGCCCGTGCACTGGATTCTTTATATACTTTGTCTTTTTTTATTACGCGCCGGGCAAGGATAGGGCACGGCTCCTGTACAATCTCTTTCCCCGCGCTCAGTCGAGAAAGGTGAAGTAAAATATCTACGAGGTGCTGCGTGCGCGTTTGGCTTGATTGATTGAACACGAGCCCCAGCCTAACTCTGACTTAACGATCACACTTCTATAAACGATATATCTATAGTCGGTTACAAGTCAAGAAGGTAGCGGCAAATGCCCCTCAAAGAGAATCTTGTATTCCTCCGCCACCAATCGCGTCCCGTTGTTTCCGTGACGTCACGACCTGCCCGAACCAATCTTGTTCTGGCAAATGAATATTTTCAACATGGCTGCCGGGCAGACTTTTTACGACTCGAGTATCTTGCAGCAATTATTCTGTTTTTTAATGCGGTTTTTCACTTACACGAGCATACGTCGCTAAGTCGTAACCGCGTCCACTTTTATTCGCAATAGGTTCTGCGCGACAGCGTGAGAATCCAGCGATAGCATTGCCATCAAAAATTTCGATGCGGGAGTAAGGCCTAGCATCGTACCTACGTCGAACGCCGACTGCTCCTCTGCCTCAGGTTGCGTCTCAACATCGTGAAGGCATCGGCTTTTCTTCGCAGTGGTTTCCGTGGAGCGACGTTAAAATGCAGCGGTCACCAAACTCTTCTTTATAAGTGTAGTGGGCTGTGCGGGAGGGGCAAAAGTGAACGGCGAACGCAGTAAGTGTCTTTGCCCAATTTCGACCGTATCTTTGCTGGCGTTAATAAATAGTCTGTCTACTGAAATGACGCCTTCGAAGCAGTATGCATTCATCTGTGAAACGTGGCGTCCTTGTCAAGTTTCCGCGTCGCAATCAGCTGCACGGTAATCTATGACTGCGATATACTTCATTTCAGCTTCCGGCCGAGCGCAGCCAAAGGCTGGGGGACGGTTCGCAACTTCGACAAGAGTATTCCTACGCACCACAAAGTGGTTCACAAAAGTAATTTCTTTTAAAATAACTGTTTTGTGCGTAAAAACTGCACAATGTTGCAGATGTGTACTGCTCAGAATGATTTTCAACTAAGCGAATCAAATCTCTGAAGTTTATGTTTCTATTAATATATGTAAATGCATGTGGTTTGGTGAAAATATGTATATCCGCTGGGCAACATGGCTGCAGCGCTCGGTTTTTCTGTGTGATTTCGTTCCCGTAATCGCCGAATCATGTGCTTTGCTGCTTTCCTCACCGAGTCGCTTCAAAACGCCCTTTCGCAAAGGCACGTTTGGGCGTCAGACGCGAGAAGTCGTGATGAATGTCAACTTTCAAATTCGGCTGGAGACTCCGGCCGCGTCGTACCGCGAATGCGTTGTAAACAAGCAAAGCGTCCAACCACTACAATTCAGATCCACGGCCAAATAGGGGCACCCCTTTACCTGCCGATCACATTGAACGCCGAGAAGCTGGTGGAAAGGACTGCGCCTCGAGCCCTGGTATATCCAAACAATACAAGGAAACGTCAACGGCCGGGTCATCGGGGACCTTGCAACGTGTACTTACAACTCGAAACTATGCCGAACAGGTGGAAAGCTCGAACACAAATGAGAGCGGCCAGCCTACGTACCGACATCTCCTGTGACTAAGTTTTAGAACGTGAAAGGGCACTTTTTAAACTTGTAGCAGACGATATCGTTGATACACCCGTAGCAGACGAAATACTTGGCGAGCGCGGGCGCCGCGGCCGACCAGCGGCGCAGCGGAGTGATACAAAAGTGCAGCCGAGATCGCGTGACCTATTGCCGGCGTGTGATTGGCTCCGGCCACACGTAGCTTTGGCTGCGCTCGGAAGGAAGCTGAAACGAAGTATAGTACCCGCGGGTGCACCCTCGTTCGCAATAATGAGCTGTTACATACAGGTGGCACACAAATGATAAAGCGCAGTGATGAGTATGTTACAAACATTTAATTGATATTGTTTTGGACGTTAATAAGCTGATGTCTTCTTTTGAAAGAAATACCAGGGAATTCGAGGGAAGCAAATTCGGTTCTCTCAAATGCTCCCGAACATTCTGCTTGCCCTCGAGGCGCTGTCAGTCGTAAGTTTATGTTTCGTCGTACCTCCACTCGCGTCGCGTCGCGGTCTGAGGTATTACCAGTAAAGACGCTCTAATTTTTCCAATTTACTTTAGAAGGAAGATGTGTCCACAATATTGGATCGCAGCATTGGTTTAATAATTTGTAAAACATGAAAAGTATGTCAATAAAAATTGATTGTAAGGGCAGCTTCCCGCTTCATGAATTGTGGCTTTCTTATATGCGAAATATTTGTTTAAATCAAGAATTGAAAACATACCGAATACTCATGATGTCCTGATCTTGGTCCGAATGCAAGTGGCAGAATGATTTGTCTTTATAAGAATAAAATCAACAATGTTTGAATCAAGCAACAGCTCAAACCGCCTAATTACATTTCTGATGTATGTTTATCTCTGAATTATACCAGGTCGTAGCCGCGAACGAGCTCTTCTGAATCTGCCATCGTCTTTCTGGTCTGCCTTGGCAAAGACAGACTCGTGTAAAAAACATTGAGCTTCTTGGAGGCAATCTTGCAGTCCTCATTGTCAGAGCCTCCATGGAACCTTTGGAAAGAAGGGTCCCTGTTGTTTCATCGACACGTTTTAAAAACTTTTTACGACTCTCGTTTCATCGATACTGCCACACTGTGCTGTGAAGTTTCATCGACACACAAATTGCACGCTGTAGGAACATTTTGTTGTGCGTTTATCACTGAAGCACATATTAAACTATCCGACCCACCCACTTCACGACGCTTTGCGGTGACAGTATCCAGCAGTTCATTACAAAAATGTGGACCCACCCAGCCCACCCGTACATGTTGCTTCGCAGCAGCGCGTGAGGGTGGTCCTGCCCCCGTGCATGTACCCGTAACTTGCTCACCAAGAAAGCAGCGCACCCCTAACCAAACAAAGATCTTTTTGACGAAACATAGCAAGATATGTCGATGAGCGAGTGTCGATGAAACAATCTGTTGATAAAACGTCGCAGCGTTGAAACAAACTGTCGGGGAAATGTCATTTGATGAAATGAGTGGCACCGCACAAAAAGCCTGTTCCCGAGCCGCGTTACTTAAACACTATCGCAGCCATCCTTTTTAGATACCCATTGCCAGAACGAATGCACCCTGAACAAAGAAGAAAATAAATTGCACGCCCCTCTGCTTTTAAAGTTCACGACCTGGAATTGGATAAGGGGCCATGAGGGAAATTTGAAATGGTTCTGGACTGGACAAGATGGACTCATTATCGGCGTTATTGGTGCAAAAGTATGACGAGTACAGCAGGCTCGGGCCTGAGAGCTGAGGGTTAACGTGGAGCTCCCCAAGCCGAGGGGTATGGCGAGTTCACACCGACAGTGGGAAGTGACCACCTACCTATCTGATCTCGTTGCAAGCCTTAGACCTCAGCCTTCAAAGGGCTCTGCATGATTCGTTGTATGGGATAACTTCTTAGCAGCCCATTAGACTAATCCTACAATTTCGCTCAGACAGTACATCCCCAGGCCTTCCAGGAGGCGACCCACTTGATCCGGGTGCATGAAGGGACCCCGAATCGTGACGTGCACTATATAGTTGACCTCTGGGCCAGCTGATGGGGGCACTACAGGGGCACCAGCGGAAAATGCGATTAGGCCTGTTACAGCCTATAGCATCACAAAACCCAGAAATACCTCCATTCATTCTAAAGCAGCTTTAGAAGCCACCCAAGCACTCGAAAACAACTTTTCGGTACTTCACAACTCTACCCTTGGCAACAAGTCTGGCTGCAATCTGTGCATTGTGGTTCTTATCGGCTTTGAAAACGTTAGATTCAATCCTGTACATTACACTAGTCCGGGAGGCTCAAAACTGAGGTCTCTATGGAAGACCGCTTCACTTCATCACAGCGTTTCTGCAAGACGGACAATATCAAGCCCCCCCCCCCTCCCCAAGGGGGCGGGGCCAGCCCCGACCCTGTCATTGGTCCCTGGGATGGGAGAGAGGGAAGAGGCCCCGCCCTGCGGCTCTGTGATTGGTCGGGGCTGGCCCCGCCCCCTTGGGGGCTTCCTCAAAGCCTCAAAGCGCGGGCGACCATTCGTCGAGGTGAGTCTTCTTCTTCGGTCACTTCGCCGAAGCGCCTTCGTACCGCTTCCCCGGAGCAGCGGAGTGCAGGATCACCGACCGCATCGCCGACCGAACCGGCTCCTGCTGATCCCGTTTCTATCGCACCACCTCGTGCCTCGCAGCGCCTGGTCGAGAGAGCATGGAAGAAATTCTAGACAAGGATTACTTTAACGACGAGGAAATTCTTTCCGCTTTTCACCCACGTCACCGAGGGAAAGTCGAGACGCTCCTCGCCGCGATTTCCTCGGTAATTGCCTACACCCCCGAGGGAACGCTGGTGGTTCACGGAGAGCCGCTCGAGGGATCCAACATTGTAGACCTAGTGCACTACGAGCTGTACAACAGGCAGCCTCTTTGGATGAGAGGCGCAGTTTCCTCTCTCATCAATTGTCACCTAAACCTGAGTGCGTTTCGAGCTCGACACTACCGACCAACAAAGCGGTGCGCCCAGAAACATGTCTTCGTCACAAAAGAAGGGGAGCAAAGCCGTCTACTACGAAGCAAGTCATCCAGCCTCTTTTGGTGGAATCAACAAGCTCGCACGACATACGGGACGAAGAACGGCGGAAAAGTTTCTAGA